AAAACGTTAGAAGATAACGACGTAAGCAAAGCAATTTCCAATGACATTTTTAGAAGCAAAACGTTTCTTGTGTGCAAAAACAAATATTTTTTCAAATTTGGTTCGAGATTTTTTGTAAATTATTGATTTTTCTAAATTAACATGAACACTCTTGTAGGAAAGTTAATCCTAAAGTTTTTATTTTGGCTTATCTACCTACCTGTCAGCGTACCGGCTTATTTATTTATCTATCTATCCATTATTGTAGCGTACCGAGACTTTCCCAAAGACGAAAGAAGGCACAATGCTTGGGCAGAATACATACATTTAGCACAGAAAAGTTGTTTGGGCTACTGGCATGGCCAGGAAGCCAGCCCACCCAACAAGGTACAAGAATGCTAATTCACAAGTCCAAAAGTAGCGCCACACCAATACCGAGGGGTAATACACTATCGTATTACATAGCCTCCCTCCTCTTTTGAGCGTCGTATTCGGCGCTCCCGCAGGTCAACGTCTCGCTTCAGCCATTACAATGCAGTCAGTGCTGTAAAGAAACACCCACGATCCTATCGTGCCAGTGACCATATTAGCGCGCAACTGAGGAGACACTTGACCTCTACGTCACTGATCCCTCTTTGGCAACCCTATTGAATCTGAAGTCTTGTCTGGTTTAAAAAATTGATTTAGAAATGGGGAATTGTGCTGGCCATCATGCGAGTCCATAGACAGATGCAGGAACACTGGCAGGTCCAGTACGGAAGTTTCGCGTCTGTTCCTGCTTGCCACGTTGTTCCCACTTTAGAGGGTAGGAGAAGTCTGTAACGAAACTTCCAGATGGTTTACAGCTAGTGTCGTTTCAGTTTGTTGTAGTTTTTCTGCAGTACACGGAGCTGGGATAGATGCCGAAGGTGGTCGTCAACTTCAACCCTTATATTGGGGTGATCACCATTCTTTCATCCGTAGCTTATGTACTTCTTCCGCCGCACCAATGTTTATCATGCAGAGGTAAAAAACAGGATCCATGTCCTTTAGGATCGGGTTCACTTTCCGCTGCCACCAATGTAGCATCCCGAGACTTCCCCGAAGACGAAAGAAGACACAATACTTGGGCAGAGTACATATATAATCAACTAAACTTTAAGTGGCAACAATCACCCACACTACGGCTGCATCAACGATGCGCTCTGTGTTACATCGAATTTATTGGAGGCAAAGCATATCGTTTGTATTCACAGC